TTTCCCCAAATAAAACCCAAGAACTCAATGATCATAAGATCTACATAGGGCAGAAGCACTAAAGAAATCAGGTGAAATAACATATACAAAATAAATGGGAAAAAAAATGCAGGTTTTCCAAAACAAAAACCATCAGATAACAATAAATTGTAAAGCCAACTAACCTCGGCAGCACTAATTTTATCGGGTCGAGATACATAATCCTCCAAGTCCACCTCATCACCTAAATTCATTTTTGCAGTGCAAACCTATACAAAAACAAATTAACTCAAAGTCAATTTAACTGGTATTGAACCACTGAGCCTAGAATGCCAATGCCAATACATTGAGAAATAAGGTGGTGAGAAACAATGATGTCAGAACATAAGAAAAGGTTGAAAGAGGATAAATTCATAATCTTATGAAAAACAACAAATTGCCACTTGAAACATGAAAGGAAATTACCTGAAAAACAAGCCTCTTTTGCCGTCTATCAGGCAAAGGAAATTCAATTTTCCGATCAAGTCTTCCAGGACGCAAGAGTGCAGGGTCCAAAGTGTCAGCCCTATTAGTTGCCATTATCACCTTAACATTTACTGTCTGATCGAACCCATCCATCTACAGCATAATTCAATTATGAAAAGAAGTTGAGAATTGGCCATTAAGGCAACCAACAAAACAAGTACATCATCATGAAGCTATTTACAGTTGGGATGAGAAACTCTTTCTAAATATAAAAACACAATTTACATGCCAGACCACCAGTATCTATTGAGTGTGAATTATGAGAAGATTTTCATCACTTGTACCTGATTCAGGAGTTCCATGAGAATACGCTGAACTTCTCTATCAGCTCCAGTTTGAGCGTCAAACCTAGCAGTAGCAATAGCATCAACCTCATCAATAAAAATAATTGCTGGGGCATTCTCTTTAGCAAGACGAAAAACATCACGAACCATGCGGGGCCCCTGGAATAAAAGAAGGGAAAAGATATTATATTGCAGTGTAAATGAGTAGACATTCATCACCAATCTAGTTATGTCTACAAAGTAAAGCTACCAAATGTCAAAAGACTTCTTAAAACAATGATACTGCTTTTGACTCCTCAGATGCATATCACATGAGATGAGAAAAATTCATCAGACATGGATGTTATAGAAGAATGAATAGCATGGTTCTATCCATATCAGAGGATAGATAACTAAGTTCAGATGCTCAGAACTTTCATACGATGAGCTAAAACAAGCAAACAAATTTAACAAATAAAACTGTTAATGCTAACACTTTAACGAGACAAGAACATGCAAAACATACCTCCCCCAGATACTTTTGAACAAACTCGGAGCCAACAACTCTAATAAAGGCTGCAGTCGTGTGATTAGCAACAGCCTTGGCAAGCATAGTTTTTCCAGTTCCAGGTGGACCATAGAGCAACACACCACGAGGGGGGTCAATACCAATTTGTTTGTACAGTTCATGGTGAGTCAGTGGCAACTCAACTGCCTCACGAATTTCCTGCTTTTGAATGTCACATCCTCCAATGTCCTAGCAATATCATAGAAGAAAGGGGAATATGTGTGAGTGAGATTGAATTCTTGAACTCAAACAAGAAACTAAATGACACAAATTGCAGCTTGTGGACTACGTTACTTGATCAGTAGTGCAAGAACATGCTAATGGTCAGAACATAAGCAGTTCTCCAGATTCCAGTATTACAAAAATCCCAAACCAACAATCAAAAATCAGAAAACAAAAGGAAGCTCCCCATCGACACAAAATTAAACAATTATCAGACTCCAACAACAAAAACACTCAAAACATTAAAATATCATTTCTTTTCAGCAAATCCATATCTCTATCAACAACAGTATTAGCATTAATAATAATTTTTACAAAAGATCAAACCAAAATCAAGCATGAAAATATTTTTCAAATTCCCAAATTCAAACCCCTAGGCAATCAATCACCAATTTGGGAATAAAACAAACCTTCATTAAAAAAAAAAAAAAAAAAGAGTCAATCTACGAAAAATCAATTTTCATAGCCCTAATTACAGAAGGGCTAGCTACTCGAACACCAAATTAGAAACACAAAAAAACCCAAATTCCAAAACCCAAAAGAAAAATTAACTCTTGAAGCTTACTCTATTGAGTAACTAATATTAACTTAGCTAAATATAGAAACTAATAAACCAAATACACAAACCCTAATAGCAAAATCCCAGTTAAATTAATCACCAATTTACGAATTGAAATGAAAAGAAAAAAAACCCTAATTTCAAAACTCGAACTTTACATCATAACTGACACCAACTTTCCCACTCCACCAAAACAAAAAATACCATTAACCCCAAATTACCAAACCCTAATTACAAAACCACAGCCAATCAAATTACCAATTTTAGAAAAAAAAGTTCAAAACTTTTTTCACTTACATTATAAGTAACATCAGGCTTCTCACTCTGACTAAGTAGAGAAATACTCGAATCAGCCTCCGGTGGCAAAACATCAACAAGAGCATTGGAATGACGATGCAAAGCCACAGAAGCCGACGGCTTCAACAATTCCCTATTAATCGTACTCAAAATCCTCACATAGTAATTGGAACCGGTAGTAGACCCAACAATCCCATTATTCTGATCCACCATCTCCATAAACTGCCCGATTACAAGCGGCACCGACTGGATCCGCTTTACCTCTTCTTGGGCACGGAGGAGCTCTCGCTTTAGATTCTTCTGTTCATCTTTGACATACTCTTCTTGTATGTCGATGAATTCCAGCTGCCGTTGGAGAGATTTTAAGCGGCTGTAAAGATCGTCGTCGTCGGTAGGGATTGTAGATGGGTCGGGTGTAAATTCGGATCTTGGCTCTACGGTTGGGGCGGGTTTCGGGTCAAGTACCATTGTCGACATGGCGTATTGCTTGCTTGATTTCTTGGTAGGAGCGGAGGAGATAAAAAGAGAGTGCTGGGTTGTTGATCAAGAAATCTGAGAAAGTTGTTTTATTTATGAACGGCGAAGGAGATTCTGAGCAGTGGCAGGCTTTATATTTTCTGGGCCGAAAGTTTTGGGATGTTACTGGGCTTTAAATTTGTATTTTTAGCCTTTGTATTTTTAGATCGGCCATAATAATTTCAATTTTATTCCACCCACGGACACGTGTAATGTTACAAAATTTTAATAATCTATTTAAATTTAAATATTAATAATTAACTGTTTCACTGAAAAAACTATCAAATAAACAACTGTTAGGCTATATCTGCATACGCAAATATGTGTATATTAATTATTTAGATTTGTATAGAATTTTTAAAGTAAAAACAAATAAAAAAATAAAAAAAACTAATTGGCTATCTAAGAGAATTGGTTTGAGTGAAAAGGATTGTAATCACTTAAATAAATGATCTTGAGTTCGAATTTTTGTGTATTTAAAAAACTCTTTGGATAGATATTCTCATCTTATACGTCCGAGTCTTTAGGCTTAGGATACCTTGAAGGATCGAAAAAAAATAAAAAAGGCTAATTGGTGATAAAATATCTTGAATTATTTGTTAACAAAAATAACATTCTTCATTTTTTTTTTTAATTCCGATTTGGAGGGACACCCTGAAGTATAAAAAAAAAAAAAAAACTAATTAGTTATAAAGTATCTTGAATTTCTAGTCAACAAAATAACATTCTTTAATTTATTTTTTTTATTCTGATTTGGGCTTTGATATGTTTTTAATTGTAATTAAGTTTTTTTTTTTTCTATTGATCAATCTTAAGTTTCTTTATTTTAATAGCTCACATGTCTCTCATGTGCATCCAATTTCACTTAATATTGATGAATGAGACGTTATATATATAAAAGGTCCAAATTAGAATGGAAAAGAATTGGAGTTTTTTTTTTATTTCATGTTGAACAGAAATTTAAAATATTTTATAACCAATTGAGTAATAACATATGTGTGTGTATATTAATGATTTAGATTTTTATAGAATTCTTAAAGTAAAAACAAATAAAATAATAAAAAAGACTAATTAGTTATCTAAGAGGATTAACTTTAATGAAAAGGATTGTAGTTGCTTAATAAATGGTATTAGATTTGAATACTTGTGTATGCAAAAAGCTTTTTAAATACTTGTTCATTCAGGTTTTTAAGCTTATGATATCATGAAGGATCCAAAAACTAAAAAAGACTAATCGGTAATAAAGTATCTTGAATTTTTTGTTAACAAAAATAACTTTCATTAATTTTTTTGTTTTTTTAATTCTGATTTGGTAGGATACCTTGAAGGATAAAAAAAATAATAAATAAATAAAGAAAAAGACTAATTGGTGATAAGGTATCTTGAATTTTTGGTCAACAAAATAACATTCTTTATTATTATTTGTTTTATTCTGAATAGGGTCTTGATATTTTTTTAACCGTAATTAAATTTTTTTTATTCTATTGTTCAATCTTAAGTGTCTTTATTTTAATAGCTAATATGTCTCTTGTGTATATCCAATGTCATTTAAGATTGATGAACGAGACGGATATATATATATATATATATATATATATATATCACCGAATGGAAACGAATTAGAGATTTGTTTTCTTTTCATGTTGAACAAAAATTTAAAATATTTTGTTACCAATTGAGTAATGATAACGATGCTTATCTTTTATTAACAATTAAACATTTTGATGGAAAATTGATGCTTTTGCTTGATTTTTAGACATGGAAACAGTGCCAAAACACAAAAACAAGTAATAGTTTTTGAGCTAAGATAAAGTAACGATGATGACAAGTAAACTTCAAAGAAAAGAAGGGCAAATATGGCAAACAGCTGTTGCAAATGTTGCTCAGATTCTACTAATCAAATGACCGAAGTACAAAAAGAGAGGATAAAAGACATCCTCCTTGTATAAATCTACAGTAAACTAGAGCAAAATACACCACTGGTGATTCCTAAAGCAAGCATCCTGAGAGAAGCTAAAATCCTGAATGCCATGCAGATTCTTTTAGCGTCATATGGGGTCAGTTCTCTTCCTTAGTTGTAGAAGTCGAAGTTAGCTTCCGATTTCTTCACATTGGTTCGGTACCCTTTCTCAAAATCCTTGGGAAGTATGACATACCTGTTCTTGCGCACTGCAAGCATGGCGGCTTCTTGACAAATAGCTGTAATCTGCCAGTGGCAATTCAATTACAAACAAGTTAGTCTAGACAGAGAAAATAAGATGAATAGAACAGGAAATGCAGATTTTTCAGAACAAAAACCTGCAGCTGCTACAAATTAAATAGCAGAACCAACTAACCTCAGCAGAACTAATTTTATCAGGTCGAGAAACATAATCCTCCAAGTCTACCTCATCACTCAGATTCATTTGAGCAGTGCAAACCTGTACAAGAATAGACCAACTTCAAATCTATTTTAACACGTCATGAAAATAATCAGACAAGAAACAATGACGTTGGAAGTACTAAGGAAGAGGTTCAAATAGTCAAATCAAACTGCACCATCAAGAAGAATTTAGAAAATTACCTGGAAAATAAGCCTCTTTTGCCGTCTATCAGGCAAAGCAAATTCAATTTTTCTGTCAAGTCTTCCGGGACGAAGAAGTGCAGGGTCCAATGTGTCTGCCCGATTGGTTGCCATTATGACCTTAACATTTACTGTCTGGTCGAACCCATCCATCTACAGAATAATTCGATCATGGTCAAACGTCACAAACGATGTCAACAAGACAAAAAAACAGAATATGGACAGGAACAAGCTATTTGTGGACAATAACAGAACTTTTAGCACAAGTTGTAACAGGATTTCACATGCATGCCAGCTTCAGTATCTATCAAGACCATATATTATGCTTCTATCATATAAGATTTCCTTAGCACAAATTAACCTGACTCAAGATTTCCATCAGGATTCGCTGAACTTCTCTATCGACACCTATTTGAGAATCGAACCTAGCAGTAGCAATAGCATCAACCTCATCAATAAAGATAATTGCAGGAGCATTCTCTTTTGCAAGCCTAAAAATATCGCGAACCATTCGGGGGCCCTGAAGTAAACAAAGAAAGATCTGTTAGGACTTTCTGCAACCAATGTTTAATGGAATAGGAAAAAGCTCTGTGAGTATGCAAGACATACTTCGCCGAGATATTTCTGAACAAACTCAGAGCCATTGACTCTAATGAAGGCTGCTGTTGTATTATTAGCAACAGCCTTGGCCAGCATAGTTTTTCCAGTTCCAGGGGGACCATACAGCAAAACACCCCGAGGTGCATCAATTCCTATTTGTTTGTAGAGGTCAGGGTGAGTCAGTGGCAACTCAACCGCCTCATGGATTTCCTGCTTCTGGATGTCACATCCCCCAATATCCTGGAAGCCAGAATCATAAAAAAAAAACTGTCAGGTAAGAATAAATTCTTAAAATCCCAAGAGTTGGAGTTCCTAAAAACATGAACCAGGCCGATGTGGGGGTTCAATCTGACCGGAGGATGACATACATTATAATTGACATCAGGCTTCTCATTGTGGCTAAGAAGGGATATTCCCGAATCAGCTTGCGTAGGCAAAACATCAACAAGAGCATGCGAGTGACGATGCAGTGCAACGGAAGCTGATGGCGTCAACAACTCCCTATTAACCGTACTCGAAACCCTAACCAAATAGTTCGTATCAGTGTTGGACTTAACAATGGCATTATTTTCATCAACCATGTTTATAAACTGGCCTACTTCAAGCGGCACCGACTGAATCCGCCTGAGTTCTTCCTTTCCACGGAGTAACTCTCGCCTTAGATTCTTTTGATCATCTTTTACGTAATCTTCTCGGATATTCATGAACTCTATCTGCTGTTGGCATGATTTAAAGGTGCTGTAGGAATCGACTTCCTTGGGTACATTGACTGCTCGCTTCTCTCTGGCTCGTTCTATTTCTTTCTTTTTTTCCTGACTTCTTCCATGAATTTTCTGCCCTTTTTCATGATTTCTTTTCTGTCCTTTTCCATGATTTCTTACTAAAAAAAGGAAAAAAAAAAAAGAAAAAGGAGAGAGAGATTGGGATTTTTGATGGAATGTTGAGGATGAAGAAGAGGGCGAGGAAAATAAATACATAGAGTTGTGGCAGGAATCCGAATTCCGAAAGGTTTGCGGATTGAAGTAAAGGAGTGCGGGCCTGCTGATGTGGAGTTCAACCCAAAACTTTGTTCCAAGAAGCCCAGAGTAAAGGCTATATTGTTTGCCCAGCCCATTTGATAGTGTTAACTATATTTAATTACTATTAATTTATCCAGTTTTCTTTTCTCATTAATGCTTACATAGTATCTATTTTTTTTTTTTAACCTTTTCTATTTCTTAAAATAAATTAAAAAGTACATGAAATAGATAAAAATAGTTAATTAATTAGTTTTTAAATTTAAAACTATTTAATTCATTTTGCAAAATTAAAAAAAGGGATTACAATTCACTCAAACAAAACAGGACAAGCTTAAAAAATTCAAAACCAACCGGATTTATTAATAAATAAATAAATGAATGAATTTTAACACCATACCATGATTATTGGAGTACCCGTGCGGGAGTTGTCGAGCATGAATTGCAAAAGGGACCTAAACTGCTAAACATCTACAAATTGGAAATGAAGGGTTGGGATGTCCAACATTTTAGTAGAGGGATCAAAATAGACAATTTTAGAAACTTTGTGGATAACATTTGTAATTTATCCTTTCCGCAGCAATTCCTTGTCTTCAAATTAGTTTTTATTTTTTATTTTTTTATATCTAAATATTTTTTATATAATATATAATTCTTCGATTTGTAATTATATTTGTAATAAAATAAATATAATTTTTATTTTTCAATATAAATTAAGTGTTTAATTTATCGTTGCAAAGTTTTTAAGCTAAATTACTAGAATTAATCACAAAATTTGCATATTAAATTTTATTTATTTATCTAGTTTGTAAAAATATCATATGCAAATCAAATAAATGATTTAAAGATAAAATTCACATGATTTGGCCTCGAAATTTTTGACAAAAAAATAAATGAAAAACTTACAAATATATTCAAAGATAAAATCAACTCAATTAAAAATATAAAGACCATTGAAAATTACTCTATTATATAAAAAAAAATTGAGTTTATTTATTTATCAAACACTTCGGGCATAAAATTATTAATTTGTTAAAATTTACAAAAGCATAATTTCTCTTAAAACCTATTTCAAATCTACCATGCATGATCATCAAATTGATTTTCTCTTCTACCTTTGCGACTTATAACCTCGTTCGATGAAATGTCTCAATACCAAACGCAAAATGGAAAAAGAAAATTGCTTTCTTATGGGGTATTAGAGAACGAGTATTGATTTCTATAGTTGAAAAAACTAACGGGGACTTCTATAGTTTTTGTCGCAAACGACGCCGACACTCATCGCTTGATCGAGTACTTGAAGAACGAGAGCAATTGGTTTCCTAATTTCCAAGCAATGCTAATGGTAATTTTATCCATATTTCCTTATTCAATTTTCTTCTCTTCGCCGTTTTCTTTGTATTTCAACTCGGGAATATCTAGAATTTGTTGGTAACTTTTTTATTTTCAATAAGTCTTAAGTAAGTCATTTACCTAAAAACTATATTTATGTAAATTGTAATTATAACATAAAAAATGAATTCACTTACTAATAGCGGTTCATAGACTAATCTTTCATCAAGCATCATTGACCACATAAACCTATTGACTCTTTCTTTCATCCACTCTCTACATTCTTTCACCCATCGACGTAAAGAACCAAGAAACAAGAATTGAATCTTTATTTCATTTTCTATAGAGAAAGGAAAAGAAGTTCAAGTAAAGCCGATAAGCCATTACATGAATCTTGATACTTTCCCACCTTTTTCTTCACGACAAACACTCAATGAAACCTTCCTTGTGGGTTTTGTTATGGCTAAGATAGGTCTCCAATTCTACTCTGCTACGGATATCAATGAAGATATCAATGACGTTAAGTTGGTTGTTCTTGTGCGCGAACCAAGAAACCCCGATGATCGAATGCTATAAAGGTTTTAAAAATTGATAACCATGAACTCGGGTTGCCTTGATAGGTCGAGTTACTAATGTTTTCTCTCCTTTAATTGATATTGAAATAATTAGTGTTGGAGCTATGGTGCTTAATTCAAGAACTAGTAGTAATGAGGTTCCTTCCCTAGTTGTACTTAGTATCTTTGCAAAGTAAGATCGATGATTTTGAAAAAGTTAAAACTGTGATTTGGCAAGGTGGGTTAGGTTTATTTTCTCAACTTAGTTCAAGATCAACTTTTTTGAGGCTAGGGTGATTAAAGAAAAGAGTTGTGAAGGTGGACTTAGGAGTGTGGATGATATATTTCAATCGATTGATGGTAATGTGAGCAGGAAAGGGAAGTTGAGGTCTTTGAAGTTGCCTAAGAGGACAATAAAGTCTCAATTTTTTATGCATCAAAAGGAGGAGTTGTGGTGGTTGGTGAATAAAGAAAACTCGATGAGTTGCTCCTTTTTTGGGAGGAGAAAGATGGGGGATATGTGAATGTTTTGACAAATTATCATATGAATAAGAGGCCGAAGCTTTTACGTGGTGGGATTTTTGCGGATGAAATGGGTTTGGGAAGACTCTTACCGTCAAGAACCTAAGTGTTGATAGAAATTAGAGTGGGAAAATAGAAGCTACTGGAGTAGCAGAAGGGCAGAGTGAGGTTAGCGAAGAAGAAGGAGAAGAAGTATAAGATGGGAGGGAAGTAGATTAGAGAGGAAGAAGGTATGAATTTCATTGATAAAAAAACCCCCTCACAACCCATACATTCTCCTTTATTTAAGGGAGCAAGGATGCTCCTCACACTCGCTTGTATTCCGCAAGAATGTTGTGTAACAAAATTCCGTTACAATAGCAGAAATAGGCAATTTAAGGAATTTAACCGAATTACAATGCTAATAGACTAAATTACCCCTCTAGTTCCCTCTTTTATTTAAACTTCCCTCATTTAACGAAACGCTCCTCTCACTACCATTTTGAAACTTAACATTCCTTTTCGTTTCAAATCATCCTTGTCCTCAAGGATTGAAATTTAGGAATTAACGCAAAATGAATTATGTGTCCTCCCATGTGGCATTTTCTACTCCCGAATCCTTCCACCAAATTAGCCATTTCACCCTGACTTGATTTTCTTTCTTTGTACATTTTACGATTTAACACTTTTGTTGGGATGGCCTCTTCCATATTGCGAGTTTTCTAGAGGTGGCGAGTGGTGGAGCGAGATTAGGTAGGCCCAATCTTTCAATTGAGCAAGAAAACGTGAAAGATTGGATGTATCATGCTCCCTCCGGAAGATCCAAGTGGTATGCTACCTTTCCCACCTTTCGCAAGGCTCGGTATGGCCTATAAAATCGAGCACACAATTTCGATTTAGGCATTTAGACACGAAATATTTTTTGTATGGCTACGACTTCGAGTAAACCGGATCTCCTATTTGAAACTCCTTTTTAACTCTTTTCTTATCTACTTGAGTCTTCATCCTCTCCCGGGCTAGAATCAATTATTGTCTAACTAGCTTTAGCATTTTCTCCCTTTCTTGCATGTGTGACTCCACGATTGTAACTTTGGGTGCTTCCTTAAACATTGTTGAGTGGATTGGAGGTTTGAACCCATAGAGAGCTTCGAAGGGTGCCCTTTTCAAGGAGCCGTGATAGGCCGTGTTGTACCACCACTTAGCTAGGTACGACCGACTACTCCATGCTTTTGGCTTGTGGAAAGGCATGCATCCGAGGTAAGTCTCTAGACACCGATTTACTCTTTCTATTTGATCGTCTCGTTTGTGGGTGATGGGCGGTGCTCATTAGTAGGGTAGTACCTAATTGTTGGAATAGCTCTTATCAAAATTGACTAGTGAAGACAAGGTTTATATCCGAGACTATAGTTTCGAGTAGCCCATGTAGCTTGTATATGTTTTGGAGAAACTATTGTGCAATTGTCATTGCTTGTGTATAGGTGAGTTAGAGCCATAAAGTGGCTATATTTAATGAACTCCGTCCACCACCACCATGATGGTGTGTCTCCCTCCGATGGGCATACTCAAGTGCTTTCAAGCTTCTTTAGGTATTGGTAATGGTCGGAGTAAGCTAGGGTAGGGCACCCTCTCGGCCTTATACCTTTGGTAGATATCACATTCCTTTACCTCTTTCTTCACTTCCCGTTTCAAACCCGGCCGATAAAAGAGTTGCTTAGCCTTATAGTAGGTTGCCTTGAACCTTGAGTGACCACCATTAGGAGAGGAGTGTAGTTGTGTAAGAATTTACTATTTAAGATCCCTTATATCTCCCACATACAAGCTACATTTATACCTCAAGCAATCCCTTGGTGTATGATAATATGGTGGTAATCTATCTTGATGTAATGTAGCCCTAATTAAGTTTTGAGCGAGTAGGGTCTCTATTATAGTTGTGCTTAACTTCTTCTAGCTATTATGGTTCTAACACCGTGTTGACTTTCAACTTCGCAATGTTAGGTTCGATTCATGCAGCTTTGATAGTGCATCCGCCGCAACATTTTCTTTCCCTTTCTTGTAAGTTATCTTGTAGTTGAGGCCTAGCGACTTGGTGAGACTCTTCTTCCGTAATTATATGTGTAGCTTCTATTATAATAAATATTTAAGGTCTGTAATGGTACTGTCTTAATGATGAAGCAGTTAGCTTCTAGATAATGCCTCCATTTGTCTACTTCCATAAGGATGGCCGGTAGCTTCTTCTTGTAGGTTGACCTTGATTCCTTGAACACAAGGCCTTGCTAAGATAAGCTATAGGTCTTTTCCTTTGCATCAACATAGCACCCACTCCAAGTATCATAAGAATTTGTCTCTATGATAAAAGGCTCCTTAAAATTAGGTAATGCCGGTAGTGGAGCCCGGCACGTGGCTTTTTGAGTTGGGTAAAAGCTTATGTAGCCTCCTCACTCCAATGGAATGCATTTTTTTAGAAGATTAGGCAATGGTTGGATGATATTTCCATACCCTTGAATGCATTTTCTATGGTAACCGATAAGGCCTAGGAAAATTTTGAGGGATTTGAGGTTACTTAGGATTGGCCATTCTCTCATAGCTTGTACCTCCGATGGATCGGTAGCCACACCTTCCCTAGTGATAATATGACCTAAATATTTCACTCGATCCACCCCAAAAGAACATTTGGATCTTTTAGCATCAAGCCGATGTTGCCTCAATACTTGTAGCATAGTTCCGAGATGGCCTAGATGTTCCTTCAAACTGCTATCGTAAATGAGGATGTCATAGAAGAAAACCAATATAAAAATCCTTAGATAATCAGCAAACACTTGGTTCATTAGTGCTTTGAAAGTGGTTGGTGCATTGGTAAGTTTAAAAGGTATCACCTTGAACTCATAGTGGCCTTGGTGAGTTTTGAAAGCTGTTTTTGGAATGTCCTCTTTGGCCATTCTGATTTGGTGATAACCAAACCTAAGATTGATTTTAGAGAAGATGATAGCCTCGTTCAACTCATTCATTAGGTCCTCCACTAAAGGAATAGGGAATTTATCCTTAATCGTAATGTCATTTGGCCTCCTATAGTCCATACAAAACCTCCATGAGCCATCTTTCTTCTTAACTAGCAATATCGAAGAGGCAAAAGGGGAGTGGCTAAGCTAAATTAGGGAGGTTTGTAGTATCTCTTTCACTAATTTCTCCACCTCTGTCTTTTGAAAATAAAGGTACCTACAAGGTCAAATATTGACTCGGTTTGGTGTTTGGTTTCGGGAGAATGGTGTGATCTAAGGCCCTATGTAGTGGCAACTTTCTTGGCTCCTTAAATACATCTTGGTACTCCTCTAAGAGGGATGACAGGTAAGGGTGAGTATCCTTTTGTTTTTCTTCACAAATCATCATGAACCCGTGTCTTGTTACCCCTTCAAACTTTGCCTAAATAGTTTACGCACCCCTTTTCCCTTTAACAAGTTGTAAGTACCCTTCCTCTTTATTAGCCTTCAAAGTGATCTTATCATTCCCTTTATATATAGTCACCTCTCTTTTTTTCAAGGTCAAAATGTATAGGGTTAAAGTATTCCATCCAATCTAGGCCAAACACCACATCACATCCTACTAGGTCCAATATTCCCAAGTCAACTATATAGTTCTTACCTTGCATTACCCACTGAAATTTCTTATATTTAGACTCACTTTGCATTACGGCCCCATTAGCCATTGTCACTATCGGTGAAATGGTTTGTAAGGTTAGCGTTTCAACTCCCTTACTAGGCTTTTGTCTATAAACCTATTAGTGCTCTCACTATCAATCAATATGCTAATACTCCTTTTTCTCACATACCCTTTTATTTTGAAGGCAATAGGAGATGACTTACCACTCAAGGCATGTAGTGAGATGCCACCGTCCACCTCGGCATGTAGTGTGATTTCTTCATCTACCACTAGCTATTCTTTCTCCCCGACCTCATTGTCTAACTCGCTCCCATTATTTCACCTTCTCTAACATCATGTGCAATAATTATTTAACGTTGCATTGATGTCCTAGGTAGTATCTATCTCCATATTTGAAACATTTACTGTGCTCTCTCTTAAATTCATTTTTGTTGTTTGGTTTATGTTGGTAGCTTCTAGGTGGTTGTGAGAATTGGTTTCTATTGGTACTTATATTAGGGTATGCTGATTTTATGGCTAGGGTGTTAGTGTGGGAAGGTTTTTGGAGTTGTGAATGGTGTATGTTGGGTGGTTTTTTGGGGTTGTGGGTGTTTTTTCATGGAGCCTCATTTAGTTTTGCTTGTTCAAAGGCTTCTTGAATGTCCATAGGTTTGAACCTCTTCATCGCCGAGGCTTAGGTCTCCTCTTAACCCTCATATGAAGACCTTGACCAAATATCCTTCGGTAAAGCTCGAATTCATCCTTTTTACCAAGGATTTCGGGTTTTCAAATCTCCCGATATTCCTCTAGAGTTCTAGTTTATTTGAGCTTGTGAAACTACTCTATCACAACTATTTCTTCTTGCTCCCCAAATCTCCTACATAAGTCCTCCATAAATTCTTCCCAAATCGAGCCTACCTTTATCCTCTTTCCATTTCGATACCAAATATTAGGTTTGATGTCTAAAAACATAACGGCAGTCTTCACCTTAGCCTCATTTCTAACTTGATACACTTGGAACACCTTCGACCTTTTTAGCCTACAACCTAGGGTTAATCCCATCGAAGTACTAGAAGTCTATCTTTGGCTATAGTTCATTGGGTGCTTGGTGGTGGTTTGGTGAGTTTAAGTGGGTTAGGTTGGTTTGGTTAAGGTATTGGGGTACTGGTGTGTATGGAGTTTGGATTTCTAAAGATGTGGGCGGATCTTTTTCCTAGTATCCACCTTAAGATTGGAAGAGGTACTAGCCCCTTTTGAGCCTCCATGGTTTGTCGCTCGTAGATCTCTCACAGCCTCCACTAAGGTTTACAATACCTGTTGGTTTTGGTTGATCATCTCATGTGTTTAATTCCACTTCGTGTATTCTATTCATGGTTTTGGTGAGTGACGAGTGTGGATTGTGGCTACATCGACTTCGAGTGATTGAACCTAATTCTCAAGATTTTTTACTTGATCATCTAAAGTTTTTAGCCTAGTATCTTCGGCTATAGTGCGAAAATGCTCGATACCACTTGTCGAGAACCTAAGTGTTGATAGAAATTAGAGTGGGAAAACATAAGCTACTTGGAGTAGTAGAAGGGCGAGTGAGGTTAGCAGAAGAAGAAGGAGAAAAGGTATAAGGGAGGGGAGAAGTAGAATAGAGAGGAAGAAGGTATGAATTTCATTGATAAAAATCCCCTCACAACCCATACATTCTCCTATATTTAAGGGAGCAAGGATGCTCCTCACGCCTGTTTGTATTTTGCTAGAATGTTATGTAACAAAATTGTGTTAAAATACCAACACTAGGTAATTCTAAGAATTTTATTGAATTACAATGCTAATGGACTAAATTACCCCTCTATTTCTCTCTTTTATTTAAACTTTCCTCATTTAACAAAACGTTCTCTCACTACCGTTTTGGAACTTAACACTTACTTTGTTTTCTTTGATTGCTTTTGATAAGTTTGGTGGTAATACTAGTGTTGATGGAGACAACGAGAGAGAAAAGTATTGAAGAAATAGGTGAGTAGGATGAAAAAGTGTTTATTCCTCGCAGCGAAGAATTTTAATAGGGTGAGGGTAAGTAGTAAGAGTA